GCAAGGCACGGCCCGGCCATGAGCGCAGCAATTAGCGATCTCTCTCTCTCTCTCTCTCTCTCTCTCTCTCTCTCTCTCTCTCTCTCTCTCTCTCTGTTTCTCTGTGTCTCTCTTCCTCTTTAGCGCTCCCCCGTTAACCCGTCGCATCCAGGAGCGTCATGCAGCGGGTATGGTGCCGCGCGCGTCGTGTGCAGCTCACATTCTCATACTAACGACCCGGGGGGTCATTCACCACACAGAACCAAGAAGGATATTACAAGACACCAAAGCCTTTCAAGACTTCGAAGATTTTTCAAACATCTTCCTAAAAAAAAACAAATTAATCCGACAATTTTGTAAAGGTGATCCAAGAATTTCCCAAACATTTCCATGGAAAAATTGCGCCCTTGCTAAAAACCTAAAATTCTCTTAAAATTTCCAAGAATTTTCCAAGCATTTTGCCCGATTTTGCCATGAAGTCCACGGCCCTTTTTCCACCCCCCGGGGCCCACCGTACCGCACGGTCGGTTGCTCACACGAGTGGTTGGGAAGGGAGACAGGGAGGTATCATCGGTCGGCTCCTCCCTCGTTAGGCGAAAATGTTGGACGTGGGGTTTAATAAAGATGAGGGAGATGAGCGGGAGATGAGCGGGAGGGAGGGAGAGAGGGAGTGAGAGGGAGTGAGAGGGAGAGAGAGAGGGAGAGAGAGAGGGAGAGGGAGAGAGAGAGAGCACTCTCCCGGCAGGTAAAACCAGCGCAAGGACGCCCCCCCCCCCCCCCTAGCCCAGCTGCCCTGCTGCCCATCTTCCCAATTTTCGCGCCAAATAGACCGCAAAGTCTCTAATGCGATGCGTCCGCATGTCGGCCCGAGCGGCGGCACGTGCCTTCATGCACACACACAGACACACGGGCACAGACAGACGAACAGACAGACGGACGGACGGACGGACGGACGGACAGACAGACAGACAGACAGACAGACAGACAGACAGATGCAGAAAAAAAGAGCGCTACACAACAGTGTTCGATGACACAGTGATGGGAAAATTACAAAACTTATTGTTTGGAAAGCAGTTGTCCCGTGCCATCATGTAATACGATACAGTCAGTGGCCCATATTTCGGACGAAATTCGTCGCATTTTCTTGATAACTCCTAACTTATTAGAAGTACGAAATTCGGCGCGGGAATGAAGAAACTAGACCCTATGCCCTACCTTTTCCCGTAGTGCAAAGTTTCATACCTGAATTTGTTTGCCTGCAAGAGCCCGAAATGTTCTGTCCGAAATTGGGAACAGAAGGTTCTTAATTTCGGACAAACTGTCCCTAATTTCGGACAAAACCGTTTGCCGCTCATGTACTGGCTCGGAAAACAGTTTTAGAGATACAGGCGGGTAGGGCGGGTTCTTCCGATGAAAACAAGCCCTCGTACGACATTTTTGGTTCAGAAATAGGGTTTTCAGAGGCGTTTTCAACAATGCTTGCATCTAAAATTCTTAAAAAAGCGCAAAAGTTTTAAAAAGACTTAAAATTGTGCTATATCTCAAAAACTATAAGAGATAGAGGGAAACCGACGAAATTTTGGCCCAAAGGGTCGTCAAATGATGTGATTACCTAAAGATAAGACTTTGATTGGTACCTTATGAAGGAACGGAAGGCCGATTCAAAAGTGTCCGAAATTGGGGCCTTTTCGTATTTTGTCCACAGAAACCAAACGACGGTCCGTATCACCAATCCGAAAAATGGAGTAAGCTCAGAAATAGTGCTAGTATACTACATCCAAAAACTAGACTTCTATCTTACACGGCACCTCAGTGCTGACCAGGAGAAGTTGAACAAAGATTTTTGTCGCACATATTTCACAAGCGGTTTTTGAACTTTAAGCGCGTGCCGTTCAATGGGGAGAAGTTTGATTGGGACCGCACTAGTTGTATGTTAAAGAGGACTTTTTCACCTTTCATTTGACGTCCCGGAAATTGAAATTGGTGAAAAACTATCGGATTTACGGTCGCCTAAAGCCAAAGACCCAATTTTGTCCGAAATTAGGGCTCATGTCCGAAATATGGGCCACTGACTGTACATTAATAAGTAACAGCGCAAAATAATACAACAAATAATAACGGAGGTAAAAAAAAAGAAATAAATAAAAGAGGAGCACGTCGGCCGCCTGCGAGCCGGCAGGTAGGCAAGCCCGCAGCGCACCGGAGCACTACGAAACCCATGGTGCTGCCTACCCGCCAGGCGCCGTGAAGCGTCTTCTTCGAGGGGGTCAGTGCAAGAGGGGGGCGAGGAGGTGAGATACAAAGGGGGTAGAGTGACACCTTTTCATTTATTTATTTATTTATTTATTTATTTATTTAGCTCGCCCTCCGCCAACCGACCACGCCATCGCCACGGACTCTGGCTGTGAGCAGCGACTGTCGGGCGAGTGCCAGGTCAAATAAGAGGTGGAGCGTCGTGACTCCACCCCAACGAAAAGGATTCACCGGACAGCGAGGAGGGTCGCGAAGCCACAACCGGTGCGCAGGGCCGCACACTTCTACTTCGCAAACTGTTTGTCGTGATGATTACAACGGGTGGGTCATTTCCTTCAAGAGACACGCAAAAGTGTGCAAAATTGAAACATTATTCATTATCGACATAGTGTTTTTTTTTTTGTTGTTTTTTTAAACCATCAAAACTTTTGTTTTAGAAAACGGTGACAAGAAAAGAAAAAGTGGACAAAGGGGTGTTGTCTCTCGTCCAACGAGGCATGACGACTTTTCACTCCCGTGGATGGTTTCATTGACGGCCGTCTCCCTGTCTGCTGCCCCCCGCGACCAGCGGACATATTGTCTAATGTTCTCCTCGACTGCGCGGGCTTACGACTTTAGTGTCGCCCCTCGCACCGAAGCAGAGGGCCCCTCCTGTGCAGAGGGCCGGAAAACGGAAGACCCCCCCCCCTTCTCTCCCTCCCTCCCTCTCCCTCCCTCCCTCTCACACACACACTCACACACACGTACCCGTTACTTGCACCATCCAGAGACACATGCAAAGGGAAAGACGGAGTCGACGAGGAAAGGGGTTCATTTAATCATAAATTGAGACCACGCAAAAGCAGAACACTGGAAAAAAGTTGGTAGGCTTACAGGAAAATTTTCCTTGACGCAAGTTGTAAAATTACAATTTGTAATCGTAAAAATACATGCAGTATGTATCGACTTCAAGTCCCTTGCCCTCAGAGATTAAAAAAACGTGTTGTCGTAAATTTACAACTTAAATTATAATTCGAGTTTACAATTCTTTTGAAAATTTACGACGATATTTTTCACAACGACTACGAAACATGCCATTAGCATTGCAATTTTCATAAAATGTGTTGCTGTAAATGGAAACATTTTTTTTTTAAATATCGCAACAGCACGGTAATCCACATAGTTCATCCGCAAAGCTCAACTCGCGCGACCAAACCCACAACTCTCCCCCATCGCGCAACGACTGATACCGCATAATTCGGTGTGTTTAGCGATGCGTCGGCCTGAGTTGGACAGTAAAAGGAAAAGGGCCGACCCGCTCGGGCACACTCCCCCCCCCCCCTCTCTAACTTGACGCAAATAGACGACGACGACTATTGGGGTTGAACAGAAGAAAGCGGGGAAAGGCGGATAGGACGCAAAAGGTTGCGCGCACGATATTTACCGGGGACAATAGGGACAGGGACAAAACACGCCAAGTCAAACATTTCGGTTCGAATAATATAGCAATTATTTATGAGTGCATTCAAATTATTTCGCAGCGGGAATTATTGCCAAATAGGCCCGGTCCGATTCTAAACCTGTCTGCGGTACAAAACAACTCATCGACCTGTGACTGCCTGTGACCTCCGCTCTCTTGGTCTTCTTTCTTCTTTCGCTTCAGATTCCACACCACTACCGGGGAATGATCGTGCTCGGCGGATGGATCCCCCGCGAGGCCGTTCCCGTTGCCATGTGGTCCTCGTCCAAGTCCGAGAGGCTCTGCGGAAGCCACCGCGGCCGCCCTCAAAGGGGTCGTTCCCGAAGGCAAAATACAAAATACCACCCGCAAGACTGAGAGCTGCCAGCTGCCGCGCGAGGGGCGTCAGTAAGTGGATAGGGGATGAGAAAAGGGGGGGGGGAGGGCTATCTTTCCTTCAATATACACAGGAAAATTTTGCACGACTCGCGCCTAGGGATAGGGATTTTAAATTTCCGGAAAAGTATTTTGGGGAACTTTCTCAAGAATTTGTGTAGAAAATAATCTCTTATTTTGTCATTTTTTTTTCAAAAAAATCTGGAAAAGTTTCACATTTTTCCGTAAAAAAATATCAGACTTTAAAACCCGTACTCGCCCGCTCAGTCGGCCCATAGCCGGCCCTCTCGATCCGACAGCAAATTCGACGGCACGCGTGACCTCGCGTGTGGGCGCAGACACGCACTAAGCAGACAGGAGAGGGGGGGTGTCCCGAAGCGATAATGGGGCAAAAGTCCTAATGCTTCGGAGAGGTCTTAATTCTTGTAATAGCCACGAGAGGCGAGTACGACTGGACGCAGCCCTCTCCGGACCAATTACTTCCTTTCCATTAATTTGTTCGGTTACCACGCACGCGCACGAGAGACAGAGAGAGAGAGAAAGAGAGAGACAGAGAGAGAGAAAGAGAGGAATCATCAGCAGCAAACCACTGCAGACCGGAAGTGCGCGCCGAGTTTTAGGGCCCCGTTTACTGTGTCAGTGCCTGTTCAGTAGCCGCGGCACACGACATGGCGTTGCACTCGCAGCATCCATGCAGAAATGGATTGAAGTCGATCGACATCGACATTTGCTCGAAAAAACGCGTGAAGTAGTCGCTCAAATCCCAGGGAATCCACCAGGTCGAATCGACGCATCGGATCGACGTTAGTGCAATTTTAATTTATAGCAGGGCGGCACCCCGCGCCCACCTTACCTCGGCCTCTGTCCGGTCTACACACTGTACCACCAGCTGCAGCGTGCGCCACAAAGTCACCCAAAATGTCACGAATATTAATTCTTTCTTCCCACTTCCAAAAACACGACTGTCCCCTGTCTCTGTCGCTCTTATCCAACCCTAGCAAGCGAGAGACGGCAGACATTCGGGTGGCGGGCCGGCCAGCGAAACCTAGCTGACCGATCAAAAACACTACATGAACAAAACTCACCGAGAGTGATGCCACGACAAAGAGCCTCTCGAAGGTGACAACGACGACGACGAGGTTGCCTACTTCCAGCGAAAGGGTTCCGTCCCTCCCTCTGCACTTGATGTGTGGTAGTACTTCCGCAGGCCGGACGCGACAACGCCGCCGGTGTTCTTTGTTGTTGTTGTTTTGTTTACAATGTATTCCAGTCGGAAGGCAAGCACAACACTGTCGCACTACTACTCGCAGGTGGCGAGGCCCGTGACGACGACGACGAGTTCGTCACACAGCACGTCACAGCAGCACAGAACACACGCGATACGGTTTAGTCACACGAAACAAGCACACGCGGCACGACGACGACGCGCCTCTCTCTAGTGACCGATCGGTCGTGTGACAGAGAGGCTGCCCGTCAGTCACACGGCACGCCGCACAAACACGACTGTCACGCGTCACGTCACGGTGCCGGTGTGTGTAGTGTAGGCCCGTCACACGCAAACACACCGCGTACGCACACGGCGCTCGCGCCGCACCGCGCCGTCACACACACAACGTCCGCCTCGCGCGGACCGTCACAGCTGACTGCTCGGCGGCGCGGGCCGAGGAGGGGAGGGGTGGCGCGGCGCGGCGCCGGTCGGAGAGGAAGGGGGGAAGGGAGGGGGGAGGGGCTGGCGTCACCGCGCCGGGCCGGCCGGGCCGAGCCGAGGGGCCCAAACCGACAAGCCCTCCCCGCCGACAGCCCCCCTCCCCTCCCCGGGCGCGTGCCGGCTCGACTTCCCTCCTCCCTCCGTCGTCGTCGGCGTAGTACAGTGCAAGTACGACGCCGGCCTTCCCCCTCCCCACCAACACCTTTTCCACTGGCGTTGGTAAATTAAACCCAACGCACAATACTGATAATGAGCAAAAGATTTGGGTTGTGTAAAATAATACATCATACAGTCTTGAAAATTACTATTATAATTGACACAGCATTTATTTCACTCACATGAAATGTTTGAAGTATAAGCATTATACAGGAACTGGAACAGTACAGGTACTCGGGGTAGACTCTCGTTATAAATTTCAATCATCACTGCTACTTTCTGATAGGTTGTGTTCAGGAAGTATTTTTCTTGTCACTTTAACTCTTCCCTTTCCTCGCTTAGATGGTTGTCTCCCCAACAGTCTTGTGGCGTTTCTAGCTTCAGCCGCCTTCACCACGGAAATGGCTTTCATTTTGGCTTCCTCCATGGCTTTCTGATCCCTCTCTCTCTGGGGTATGCTGTCATCTCTCTTTCTGCGAGCCAAATCATCAACAAAGGCAGTTCTGCTTTCCAGACGCTCGCGAGTGACCCACCCTGGCTGAACACCTCTTGCATCCGCAGCCTCAACAGGATTTGGGATCCTGGGCCTTGCTGGTTTCCTTGGCTTATTTGGACGTATACCTCCAAAGAATACTTTTGGGCGCTGCGGCTCAGGAACAGCCTCAGAAACATTCTCTGCACCCCATGGATCTTCTTCCCAGTTCATGTCTGTTAAGGCAGCCAGTTCAGAAGATAGACTTGCTCCTTCTGCAGAAACACTAGGCCTGTCTGAAAAACCTGTGGAAGATCCACTCCCACTACAACCAGGCAAATCATGGAACAATCCACTCCCACTTGGCACTGCATTAGTGATCTTTGTGGAAGATGCTCTGGGGGCAGTTTTTGTTGAAACATCTTCCTCTTCAAAATTTTTAAATTGTTTCCTCTTTGTTTGGTCACTTTTCTTGCGAGTTTGCACTTTCTTCCTCTGAAGACCCTTTGAATTCTGCCTTGCTGTAGAAGTTGCACTTTGCTCGTCATCAGATTCAACGTCAGAACTCACTTTAGATGCAGGTTGTTTTGAGAGCTGCCTACCACAGGTTTGTTTCCTCTCACTCAAATTTTCAAACTGAGTTGTCGATTTTGACTCCCCTTGAGTGGATGATATTTGAAGATTATTTGAAGATTTCAAACCCACCCTCTTCACTCCTGTAGAAGTTCTCTCACGGGGAACTAAAGGGGCCCTCACAGGGAGCTCATCACAAGTATCAGAGTTACTCTTTGCCTCATGACCACGGTTATCAGAAATTTCTACATCTGACTCATCATTATCAGAGGCCACACGTTTGCTTTTGGCTTTGGTTCTCTTAGAATTTGTGTTATTAGATGCTCGTGGTTTCTTTGAAGACGGTTTTCGTTTTGTTGTTGCTGTTGAGGTTGTAGGTTTTGGATCAGGATCATCAACACTGTCACTATCTTCTTCATTTCCCATTAAATTAACAGCTTTTTGAACTCTCTTGCTCATCTTGCTCAAGCCTTCAACCAGATGAGGTTGAAAATTAAAATAGGAATCAATTGAGCGCTGACTCTGAAAAAGACAGACAGGAAATATAAGACTGCTTTTGAGTTGGAAATTCAGAGTTAACTCTTCTCAATATATAATGGAAACATAACATACAGCTCGAGATGACCATCTTTTTGAGACAGGCAATAAAATTTCATCCGTTTTCTGCACAGTCCAACCAAACTTTGACTTTGCATACAGTCTTAAGGCTGGTAAATCTAGTGCACCCCATGAAAAAGTCTCCTCAGAGTTCTCCACCGAGGGACGTAAGTACGCCTCAACAACTGCTTGACTTGGGAAACCTACAAAAATATATTTTCACGAACAATTTATTACAGGCTATGGTGAGTACAATTAAAGATGTGTTGCCAGCAAAAGACAACATACTGTACCTTCTGAAAATTTGACATTTTTTAACTTTTTGTCCAGTAGCCTCATGTTGTTTGATTTATGAGGACGACCAGAACTCCACCATTCCTTGAATTGACTTAACCCTTTCAAGGCGCTTTGTATGGGATCAGATTCTATTTTACATTGGAATGCAGCAACTATTTCCATTGCTGTTACTGGACCTACGCCTTGAATCCCTGTAGTATAATCACTTCCCACCAACAGAGCAAGTTGTATGAGCTGCTCTCTGGAAAGTTCTAAGAACAAAGGACATTTAAAAGAAGACATGACATGATATGCAGCACAATATCACTGCACAAAGTATGACTTACTAAAGTAATGATTTATGTTGGTTGATGTAAACTGGAGTACATGTTTCTTCTGATTAAAAAAGTTTTTGTAGACTTTTCTCCCTCCAAAAAGCCATATGTCACTGTCATCTGTTATGCTACCTTCTGTCAAGGAGATTGCATCAAGAAATGCACACTGAGCTTCAGCTTCCATTGGAGCAACAATGTAAGGTAAGCCAAAGAGCTGAAGTAACTCCTGTAAAATTAAAATTAGATAAAAACCAAAAAATTGGCATAAAAGGCAACATTTATTAGGACAAGAACTTATTGTTTTTCCTGTCTTACCTGTGCTTCTATACACATCTGGTCTGTGATACTTGCTGCAAGGCGTTCTTGCCGTCCCCTTTCTCTTTCAAGATCAATATTCTCTGCTTCAAGAGATGCCTGAAATAAGTCAATTACAAGTGAGATTTTTTTTTAAAGAACACTACTTAAAGTGATGGTACTTTATCTGTGATTTTCGTTACCTCCATTGTATTTAAATCTAATGATGATGTTGGTAATTTTGGAGACAATGGGGGTGCAATTGAAATCCTCTCAGCAGAGTCTAACTCTTCTTCAGAGGATATACTACCTAAGTCATTATTTCCTAGAGCTACATTTTGATGATCAGTTTGTTCAATATTGTTATCCTCTTCTTTAATCATCACTTCCATTCTTGCATCAGAGTGAGATTTGGGATAAGGTCCAATATTCTCTTGTTCACCTTCACTTTCGCTGGATGAAATTTTTTCTAAACTTTCAGGTTCACTATTAGAATCAACCTCTATCTTTACTGAAGTGAGTATCTCAGTTTGATCATTGTTAAAGATATCTGCAAAAATGTCATCTTCTGGGGCACTTGTTGCTTTTATAACTATTTCTAGAGGCTTCTTTGAAACAGAAATGGAGCTAACAAATTCTTGGGAATCACTCTTATGATTTTTCATTTGTTTTGAGTTTATATCAAACGATTGTTCTAATTTCACTACTGGCTTGATTTTCGAACTGTTCTGTTTTTCCACTTTATTCTCAAATGGCTTGGTTTGAAAGATGTCTGCAAATATGTCATCTTCTGGTTTTTCTCCTGGGCATACAATTATTTCAAGTTTCTTTTCTTCACCTTGTCTCTCTTTTCTATTCTTTTCATCTACACTTAAAAGAGATTGGCCAGTTACTGCAGTACTTGAATCAGATTTGTTTTGTGATTCATTATCTCTGAGAGTTCTAGTTTCAGAATTTTTCCCAAGATCCTCATTGTCTGAAATACTACTTTCATTAAGTATCAAGACCTTTTGAGGAGGGCTTGTATCACTTGAGTTGTGCTTTGATTCAACATCAGAGGAAATACTTTCCGATTTTCTTTTCTGATTTTTAACTGTACTCAATCCAATACTGTTCACATCATCATCATCATCATCATCAGACCAACTATCTAACAGTATTTTGTCTGGTAAACCTTCAAGCTCCTCTTTACTAGTCTCAGTGAATGCTTTAGCTTTCTTAGGTACCAGTTCGTGGCTTACATGCTTTTCCTGCTGAGTTTGGACAATTTTTTGCATCATATTTTCAGCCATTTGTGCAATGAATTCCACTTGTTCATTGTACAATGGGTTATCTTCAGTTTCTTCGACCTCTTTTACTTCAGTCTTTGAAGAATCAGATTGTTGAGTGCTTTGGGCTGGGCCAGTGGGATCTGTAAAATTGCAACTTTAACATTAGTGCAAATTTTAAGGATAACACAAATGATACATGTGTATGCTATATACCTTTGCAAAGAATAAAGCGAGTTTTAGAGTCTGAAGCAATTCTTTGGGAAGAGGAACCAATAACGGTATTGTCCTCAATAATTTCTACACCTTGCGCAGCCATCAGCTCTTGTAATTCGTTTATTCGCATTACTTTTCCACCCATCTCCTTTTCAGCTTGTTCCAATGACACTTGTACATTACGTCTTTTCAGAAGACGACCAAGCTGAAAATTGGAGAATTCACCTGATTCCTAGACAGACAAAAAAAGAGGATATGCTAATAAGAGAGTACATACGATTGAATGTGAATACATAATTGTCATCTCTTTATTAAATTACCTCTGGCATTTCGTGAATACGACCCCACGAATTTTGTTTCCTTGTTTCTTTTAGATCACTCAAAATGTCGTGTCTGACATCAGGAGGAAGCGAAAGAAATTCTTCACTATGGACATCAAGAGTATGCAAATCCACCTTAAATCCATGTGCCAGCTGGGAGCTGCTGGGCTTTACATCAGGCTCACTATCACTATCACTGGCCAACTCACTACTCTCCATGAAAGCTTTCAATTTTTCTTGAGTCTCATCTTCAGATCTAAAGAGCACATTAAATTTGTTGAAGGTACTTTACACTTGGCAGGGACTACAATTAGGAAAGATTTGCACCTACCCCGAATCTAGTGCATTTTCAGGTAGAGGAGGTAGTTCAAACATGTCCTCTCGAGGAGCAATATCAGTCTGAGTCTCTGCAGGAACTTCTGATCCATGAAGCATTTGTCGAACTGCTTTTCTCTTGGCAAGATTTTTTAGGAGCCTCTCCTTGGCTTCCGACGCATTTTGAGATGCTTGTGCCTTTTGTTTCCTACGGGCAGCCTGGAAATAAATCAATGAATAAAGATCTAGGTGTGATAAAAATACATTAACAACAATTGAAATACTTACAATGGTTTGCTTCTTGAGAAGGGGAACACCACCATCAAACACAAACACAGGTTTGATTTTGTAGAACATTAGTTTGCAGACTCGATGAAACAACCCAAGAAGATGTGCATTGGCAACAGGCGCGCCCCTGGAGTCCTGATAACCCTTCATCATTTGATGCAACCAAATGGAAACATCTTTATGCCATTAAGGAAACTTTACCAGAAGAAAATCTAAATACTGAATAATTAACTTGCAAAACATGATGCAATTGGGTAATGGCTGGAAAATTTAACGAAAGAACCTCTCTCCATTTGGGTTGATGCTGTCAACAGATGTACTACATTTGTTCTTAATCTGACAATCATTAAAGGATACCGACTGCTAAAACTTTATTCTCCAGACTCTCAAGGGGTACAGGCTTCCCGGCAGCCTCCAAAAGCTTCCAGAGTCCGTGTACACCCATGACGAACTGATTGTTGAGCGAAGCACTGGAGATAATACAGATGTCATTGATCACTCACTCCATCATTCACTCATCCATTCAATAAATCATCATCAACTACACATGACAGAGGGCTTTCAGCAAGAAGTTCCAGCCTCCAGCATTCAACATCAACTCTACAAACAAAAACAAACAAGGGGAAAGGGAGAAAAGAACACTAAGAACAAGAACTTGGAACCAGACCTACCTACTGCAAACCCAAAATGGTTGAGAAATAGTTACATTCCTATCCCCCAGAACAGCAACCAAAACCTAAGTTTTAAATGGAATTCGTGAAATTTTGAGCATGAGGTATAGTATCTTATTTTCTCAGTTGATCTGTCAGGTTTACCTAGTTCAATTTCTTTTTGTTGGTTAGTTTACCAGCCTGGCAATTTGACAGGTCGATGTTCTTCTTTTCTCTCACAATACTCACATGATATTTCATGGCAGACGACAAGCACCACACCATGACGAAGGGAGTTGACAAATTAATTCTGGAAGATGACAAGAAAGATGAAGCAGAGATTGATGAAGAACAACAACTTAACGACGATCCTGACGAAGATGACATCTCCCCAGAAGGTTTGTCTTACTTTGTTTTGCAGCCCCCATAGTGGATGTCAGAGGATCATCTTGTTAAGGATTTTATTTTACTTTCGTTTGATGTTTCCAATTTCCCAGTCTTATGTAATACTGTGGCCTAAATACTTTATTGCCATGAATGTGTGCAATGAAGATGTTGAACCTGGAGAAAGCTTCATGTTGAAATTCTACTTAGGGCTCATAACCTTGTCCTGACAAGTTTTCACACTGTCTGCTTCTTTATTTATCACTTAGCTGAAAGTGCCTGTTATTTCTAGAATTTGCAGCACTTAACAGTCAAATGGACCAGCTGAACTCAGCCTTGGACGTCTTGGAAGAACAAAACGATATGATTCATGCAAAATTAGTGGATTTGCTTGAATCGAACCGAGCGGCAAGAAAGCAATTCAAAGAAGAGCAAGAAAAAAAGTTAAAGGAAACAGCTGACAAAAAGTAAGACATTATGTATATGAAATATCTATCTTTTAAAAATGGGAAAATTGAATCCTTCTCTCATTAAAATTGTTATTCAAAGTTGGCTATTTCATGGGCAACATTCCATTTAAAAGTTGTTACAATTATAATTCTTATAAGGTGATCAGTATTAAAATAAACAGAAATTTTAAAAACACAGCAATAATTTTTTCTTTGACCAACACCTGCACGATGAGGATTATTATTAAATAACAAGTTTGCTTGATAGAGGAGAGGACACCATATATTTACAACAACTTACAACAGGTAAAGAAACTGCACTAAAGAAAATCACAACACCCCTAGTTGAGAAGAGTCCACATAAATGCAGTTGAACAATACCAAGAATTTCTACAAAACAAGAAAAATCACAAAAATTCCAATTTTAATTTCTGTATCTCATATTTGGATATCTAGGATGATCGGCTGGAGGAGGATCCTGTAGGGGAAGATTGGAAGAGGGGCGGAAGGCTCTCTTCTTCTACTTCTACAGAGTCTGGTAATTCTTCTTCACCTGAGGCAGTGACAAAACGGCCAACATATTTTCTGCCCCTTACATCGACAGCCCAGTTGTAGTCTGTCACTTTTTCTAAACAATCTTCAATAGTCTTGTCAATGTTGTCTGGAGTGATATAAGACACGGAAAGCTCCTATAACACAAACAGTTGAATTAAACATTGTCATTGTAGGATAAATAAGGGTATGAACTGACACCTAATAAAATAGTTCCTACCTTCTCCTTTCTGATATATTCCTCAATCTCTTGAAGTCGTTGCTCCTGTTGCTTTTCTTCCTCTAGAATTCTTTGATGAATTTCTTCCTCTTTCATTTTCCTTTCCTGTGCTAATCTTTCGTTGCGTTTAGCAGCTACCTCTTCATTCCATTGTTTGATACGCAGAAGACCTTCCGCCCATTCCGCATCTTCTTCAATAGATTTTTGACCTGCTTCAGCACTACCTGCGGCATGCTTTTGGTTCTCCTCTTTACAAAATTGACTGTAAAAGTGAAACAAAAACAAGAGCTCAACAACATTGACCAACCTCGCTGTGCAAGAGAACCAGGCAAGTGAATCAAATTTCAAAGCACTATCCACACAGGCTTACGCTATTGAGTCAACGAAACGTCTGTGGCGGTGTCCAAGCCTGCTCAACTCTTCCCATTCATCTGGATCGTGTTGGGGCATTTCTGGGACTTTAAACCACTTGGTTTTGGCCAAGCCCAAGCCCCAGGGTTTTCGGGGCCGGACCCCTCTCGATTGCTGAAGGCACACAGCATGCTGGGCCGCCGTCGCGTCCAAACCAATTGATACAGCTGTCCTCTTCAAGACTTGCGGCCCCGAGCGAAGCATTACGCCTCTTTTGACGCGATTTTAGCAAAAGCCTGAACACTCCTCAGTGGACACAAACGAATCCTCTAACCTCAAACCATTCTCGTCTGCTGGTGGTATGAGAAACTCGACAGAAAATTTCTTTTTCATAACAAGCTGACTTTGCTGACGTCACACCTCACAGTTCTTCCTTCCATCTTCCACGACTGGACAATCCATCTATGTATCTGACGTTTGGCGTTTGAGTTCTTGTGGGTCATTGTTCCGAGTCGGCATTTTTCTACTTTGGAACCCAAAATCGACGATTTTCCCATTTTTGTACCACAACTGGTGTTTGCAGGTAATTTATTCTCTGTTGTTCAGGGTGGACAAATGCTTAGTGGCATACTTGTCTAGAAAACAGGTTTATTGTGAATGGGAGCTTGACAGTTCATTTTCACCTCTCATTCGTCTGTATGACCACTGTAGTATCATTTCATGTGGTGTTCATTTTGTATTTGGTGAAAAAATTGAAATTTACATTAGTTGTCAAGTTTGCTCACTTTTTTCTTTGTTCCTTTTCAATAAAATTGAAAATTTGAAGTTTTTGTAGGTTATGTCTGTGAGTCAGCAAGTCAGCAAACTTATTATAAAGTGCCATTCGATACCATACCATACATACCATAATCATTATGCGGACAATATATGTTATCACTTGTAACCCCCAATGGTCAATTTAAATTGCATTCAAATCCAAACCTTTTAAGTCATCTAGGAATGAAATGTTTTCAAATTTTAAGATGGTCAAGGAGGTTAGATGTTCAGTCATCCATTTAGAAAGAATTATTTTGTTAAATGTATCCAAAAACATTTTTTTTTATCAATGTGTTATTTCTTTCTTAAAAATTTAATTTTCCTCTTATTCCCAGTTTAATCTAAGAGTGCACATATTAAACAATATCTCTTTATCTTTCATGTCACAGTGAAGAGTTGAAGATGGTGGCTGCCATGGAGGTTTCAACAGATGTCGAGATGAAGAGTGCAGACAGTCCTGCTACAGATGCTGAATCAACAGATTCCAAGAAAGATGTAGATCTTCTGAGCATTGCTGACATCCGAGAACATGCTAAACAAATTGAAAAGGCCATTCAGACCAAGGAACCACGATTCATTCTTCGAGTTCTTCGGTCTCTCCCCAATACCAGAAGAAAACTGAATGCTCTGGTGCTGAGAAGTATCATTTCCAGTCTGTATACTTACTCCTCTGCTGATCGTGAAGCTCTCCTGGCCTACGTAGATGAACCTATGGACACTGATGGTTCTACAGGAAGTCAGAAAATTCGCAGTGGGAAGCCTTCCACAACACCTTTGTTGCCTGAGGTTGATGCCTACATTAATTTGTTGGTGTTGGTGAGGCTCATAGATACTGGTAAACATCAAGAAGCCGTGCAGTGCTCAGAGCAGTTAATGGCAAAGCTAATGAATCAAAATAGGCGCACATGTGACCTGATTGCTGCAAAGTGCTATTTTTACCATATGAGAAGCTATGAGCTTATCAACCAGCTCGAGAAGATCAGAGGATTTTTCCATGCAAGACTGCGTACTGCTACTCTGCGTAATGACTTTGAAGGACAAGCTGTCTTAATTAATTGCCTTCTCCGAAATTATCTGCAGTACAATCTCTATGACCAAGCTGACAAACTGGTTTCAAAATGCAACTACCCTGAAACAGCAAGCAACAATGAATGGGCTCGTTTTCTGTATTACTTGGGTCGTATCAAGGCAGCACGCTTGGAATACACTGCTGCTCACAAGCACCTTGTTCAAGCTTTGCGCAAAGCTCCTCAACACGCTGCAGTTGGCTTCCGTCAGACTGCTCAGAAGTTAGCAGTAACAGTCGAACTTCTCCTTGGTGATATTCCTGAGAGGCAAATATTCAGGCAAGCAGCTTTGCGCCGATCTCTGGGACCATATTTTCAGCTTACTCAAGCTGTAAGAATGGGCAACCTTCAAAGATTTGGTGAAGTTCTAGAGAATTTTGGCTCAACTTTCCGAGTTGACCATACCTATACCCTTATATTGAGATTGAGACACAATGTCATCAAAACAGCCATCCGGGCCATTGGTCTTTCTTACTCGCGCATCTCACCAGCTGACATTGCGAAAAAACTTGGCCTTGACTCCCCTGAGGATGCAGAGTTTATTGTTGCCAAGGCTATCCGTGATGGTGTGGTAGAAGCTACCCTTGATCCTGAAAAAGGGTACATGCGAAGCAAGGAAAGTGCAGACATCTATTGCACCAGAGAGCCACAGCTAGCCTTCCATCAGAGGATTTCATTTTGTCTAGATCTTCATAATCAGAGTGTTAAAGCTATGCGATATCCTCCCAAGTCTTATGGAAAGGAGTTGGAATCTGCTGAAGAGAGACGTGAACGTGAGCAGCAGGATTTGGAACTTGCCAAGGAAATGGCTGAAGAGGATGATGATGGCTTCCCTTGAACGTGAAGATTTTGTCTTATAACATTCTTACTTACATTGGTACACTAAAATCTTCAACTTAAGGAATTTCTATTGTTTTTCAGCCAGATGAGTAACATGTCTTTTCCATGATTTCAAAATAACAAACTTGTAAAAAATTGGAATAAATATCTTAGATAGTTTTAAGTTGTTTAACTCTCAAATATCACTAGTAATAGATCTAGAGTGTGCTCAGTTGTTGAAGAAAATGGATGAGCGGTCAAAAACAAGGTGGTCAAAAATGACGGTTTTCTTGAAAAATAAATTAGAAATAAAATTAAGCACACCTTATCTTAAAAGAACAAAGATTAATAGTTTTAAAATTTGTTCCATGGAACCAGTTAAAAGCCCATTCCACATTTTTTTTAGCCTGCAAGTCATTGCTAACAGTAGAAATTAAATTTACTGTGCACCACCAGCCTTTCCAATATCAGGTCTTGATTGGATTTCTCCACTAGGAAGTTCTCTGTTAAGTGTGTCAAAAGAGTGAACTGTTTTTTTGTTTTTTCTTCAATTTTTTAATTCTTTTACTTTGATGGGAAAGTGAAATTCATGAAGACAATTGAGAACAGTCTCATTCAATAAATACACAGTGACAGGCATAAAAGAAGTCAAGATATCTTACATGCAGGTCATAAAAGGTCTTTGCCTCAAACACATTAAGAACCAGTTTGTACCAAGTAGATAAAGATGATGTTCTCAGAATGGATTCGGTCTTGTAAATCCAGCTCTGTCAGCTGCTACAGAGAGAGAGAGAGCTAGGTAAACAGGCAGCTTACTTCAGTTTCACAAAACTAAATACGCCTGTAGTGTTCTCAACAACTGCTTTAACAGTAAGTATTTAAATAAAATGTTTACAGGAGAAAAATCTAACACACTGATGCACATGTGATAGTTTCAATGATCAGATGCGTGATATATGTCACTTACAAAACTAAAATGACTGACCATGGGAACAACTTAAAGCTACACCAACTTAATCACAGATCACACATGATCATTCAGAAGTATGGATTAAGGAATTCAATATATTTCATTCAGACAGAACTCAGCGTTTTATCGATAAATAACAAGAGGTCAGAGATTTCTCACAAACTGATGCTGGGATTTTTGTGGATTCAGATCAATAAAAGTCTGACTGAAATCACATTGTATAATATTTGCTTAAAATTTAAATACTGATAGTATTATGTTGAGCTCTCAGACAGTACAAGGACAAAATCTGTAGTGTTGACATGAAAAATATCTAGTATCTATGATAAAGGATATACATAGATAAGGGAGCTTAGTGATATTGATGATCGCAGTAGAGATAGTATTCAAATGATAATCAATATTTCATGATTCACACAGTAAATATATCTACAGTAAAAACATTTCATTTACAAGGAACATAAAACTGCTGATATGAAAAGGGTAGATTGAACCAAACACTACCTTTTAAAAAAGCGGTATAAACATTAATTGAATACCTACAATATTAATATTGCCAGCAACACTTCCTGCCTTGTAAACAATACATTAAGTCAGAAACTTATTAAAAACAATGAAGGATATGGCACTGTTAACCAAATTTAATGGATATTTATGCAATCCTTGTAAATCCTTATTTTTAAAAACGTAATACGGAAGACACCCCAGACAAAAGTTTACGAATACATATTTATGAAAACACAATGCAAGTTGATATGGAAAAAAAATGATAAAAACAAACTCACAACCATACTTGAATTATGGCATGTACTTAACAGGTACAAGAATTAATTGTACAAACATTGAGAACAATAAATTTTGAGGTGATCGGACTCCGTCTTTCAAAAACCTTTTAAGAGTATCATAAGACACTCTATGTTACTTATTTGGCACTAATCTGTAAATGAATAACAGTACTAATTATAGTACTGTACTTGAATTAACGGGAGTCCAGATTGATGAAGCTTATTTAAAGGACACTTGCGTATTACAGCCTATGCTCACCAAGTAGCACAGTTGCTGTCAATAAGATATGGCACATTGAACAAGAGCTTTGTTTAGGAGAACAATTAGATACAAAAAGCACCGTAACTTTGGAACCCCTCAAAACAAGACATCAGCAATTTCACTCATGAACCACTTAACTGAATTTCTTTTTTTGAAAATGTAACTACCTATCTGCACTCTTGTATGAAATAAATTCTGTCTTTTAAGACCATTATCACAAATTACTGAACTCATAAGCATAGCACTCCAAGTGAAGGAAACAAATGTAGCTGCTGTAAGATGGCTGACATTTTATAAAGAAGACATGTGACAGCTTTGTTTCCAATAATTAAGAGTTTAAGGCCAGAATCACATTCATAGAACATCATGCACAACTAACAACCTATAACTGATGTATTCACAGCCAATTCCTATTCTACAGGGCTCACTCATACACATAGATGCACAGTTAATGGTTAATCTTTAAAAATTTAACACTTTTGGTGAAAACTTCATTTGCAAACAGATACGTAACAAGAGTTCGTAGGACAAGATTCAGGTGAATAACACCTGACAGTACACGAATATTATGAACCAGCCATACACTTATTAATTGTCCAGTAAGAGGGATGAGTTTTGACAATTCTTGATGAAACAGAAGGTTAAAAACAAGTAAGATTTTTACTTGCCACAAAGCGTGTTTACAAAAGAGTCTGCTTCAGAGAAAAAATGATACAAAGACAAGAATAAAAATTTAAATAACTATATATGTAACATGATATATACTTTCTGATGAATATGATAGAGACACACAAAAATGAACTTCATCTGACTAGGCATAAGCTATATTGTCTTTCCCAAAAGATTGTAAAGAAATAACAGACAACGTCCATAATATAGGTAAATGTGATATGGAATATTGTATTACCTGAAATTTGCCCAATCTACACAGCACTCCAGGTAGTAATAACTTACACATCATTAAAGTAAATAAATTTGGTCTACAGTGATAGTAGCCTGATTAATTAAGGATATGATAGTCATTATGAAGACTAGTAGGCCATCATAGGGATTTTTGAAAAGTTGACACATGGAGAAAATGAAAAAATTAGATGTCAGACTATAATCATTTGTTAAATCATTCGTTAAGAATTAAGTATAGTTAGGCCATGTTGGGAAAAATATTTGAGATATTGTGCCAGCACAGATAACATAAATTAAAACAAAAACGAAGTAAAAACTTCAAGAATAAAATTTAGAGAAAGACAACACTGAGAGTTCAAAATTATTTTCAATTAGAACTTTACCTTGCATTTAGAAGGTATATCAGCCCCCCCTCCCCTTCCCCAATTTCTTTTAAGCCCGTCTCTTTCCTATTTCCCAATTACCTCCAAACAACTTTAGCTTTCCGACCTCATAACTTTTAAAATCCTAGTAAACATTTAACATGAGCTGAGTTACTTGGTTGGCCAAAGAGATTCACAACACAAGCTCATTGTCAAAGGGCAAAATAAATAAAGTAAACAATTCCCCTGGAAGACATTTTACACATTTAAGACAAGCTTGGATATGACGAGAACAATGTGAGGGAGCAAAAGGGAAAGACAGAATTGAAATCGAGAGCCAACACGACGAGATACTCACGGCAAATCCCTTGAACTCTCCTACTCAACTCACAGCCAAAAAATAATAATAAAGCTAGTCGTCTCCTCCTCAACACAGGGTCTCGGTGTTGCCGTACGGGAAGCTGCTCACGCTGGACGAGGACGACGACGACGAGGACGACGGCGGCGCGCCGCCGCGGCCGCCGCCCGGCTTGTGGACGATGGCGGTGGTGGTGGGCGCCGTCGGCGACGAGGCCACGGGCGAGGACACCGGCGTGATGGTGTCGGGCGTGGCCGCACCCGCGTCGCCGCCCTCGATGGCCGTGCTCCGGAGCAGGGGCCGCACGGGGGTGTCGCCGGGCGCGCGCGTTGTCGCCGTCGCCGCCCCGGTCCCGGACCCGTTGCCGGCCCCGACCCCGGCCCCGGGGTCCAGCACCGTCTCGTCCGTCACGGTGAGGAAGAAGGCATTGTTGCCAAAGCGCTCGCGGTCCAGCTGGCGGGCGTGCTCACTCTCGTCGTCGCCGTGGTACCTGAGGGAGCGGAGGTCCGGAGGGGGTTAGAGGTAGGACGCTAGGGGGGTCATCCAGAAAGTACGTCCGTCATTCGCTGTCCAGAACCTTGCCTAGTTGAACCTCCTCCCTGCTGGCTCTCAAAGCGCCGAGTAGGTAGACAGTTTCTTGTCTGCAGAGCATGTGGGTATTGCGGGATGGCCTACCCCGAGTCTCGCAGGCGCCGAACTTCCATAATTTACCGAATGGTTCTGAGATCCCTTACGTCGGAGGTCAAAGGTCGGATGTTATAGGTTGGAAGTTTGGTGATGGAGGCAAAAGGTCGGGGGTGGGGGGGGGGGGGTAGAGGTCGGAAGTTACATGATGGAGGTCAACGGTGAGGTCAACGGTCGGGGGTTGGAGGTCAGAGGCCGGAAGGCAGGTCGGCCTACCTGTGCTGGATGAGGTGGCTCATGAGCTGGTAGTCGCTCTCCTCGGCGTCGCGCAGCGTCTCCTTCTCCAGGAACCTGGCCATGTCCGGGTTGGACATCTCGGACGCGTGCCTGACGCGGTGGTGGCCGGCGTCCGCCAGCGACAGGGTCTCGGTGCGGGAGGGCGACAGCAGGCCGCAGACGGTCTCGAGCTCGTCGGTGATGCTGCAGACAAGGAGGGCAGCGAGGGGTCAGTGCGGGTGGGGCCGGCGCGGGGCGGCGCGCTAAACGACAAGCAGGCCTCCATGCAGATCGTGAAGTAGTCCAAAGGCAGGCGGTAATAATGGCAACGGTATAGAGTTCAGGCTCAGCGCACGCAGGGGAAAGGGGGGGGAGCGGGGCGAGAGAGAGAGAGTAACAGAGCAAACGATAGAGAAGGAGGGGGGGTGGGGGCAGAGGGAGGGAAGAACTCGGTGACAAAGAGTGAAAGGGAAAAAGAGAAAGAGAATGAGACTCACCACAAACCTCGTCCGGGACCATATTGATTTCTGAATCTTGAAAAATGTGACAAGAAAATAAGTAGTGAGCAGTGTGAAGTTTTTAAGAGTGATCAGAAGCAAAGAAGAGAATAAAAGTCCATATGTGAGATATAAGTGCACGCATCATATTTGCAAGCCCCTCTGTTGACCAGCCTACAAAAAGGAAGAGATGAATAATCAACATTAGGCCCATTACTTTGCATACTACGATACGCAAAATAATACGGAAAGAAGTCCAACAAGTAAATTAATATATAACTTTGGCTATTATCAAAGCAGTCCAATGCCAGTTACTTCAAAGTTAGTCAAGACAATATGCTTAGGAACCAACAGAGAGGCCATGACGAAAAGAGAAAGAAGACGGCTGTAAATTGAATACGCCACAGATGCACTAAAGAGAGAGAGAGAACATGCTCATTTCCATACTAGAAGATCAATATTAATTTTTGCGGTACACACTCCCTCTAAATAAATGCTTTCCATTTATAGGCGACTCTAGTCACGAGATAATTTCCAACTTTGTAAAATTCAAGCACCAAAATAATACCTTACAACTTTTAAATTATGGTTATTTTTTTAATTTTTAAATTCATTCATAAAAGGTAATTATTCTTTTAAAATTTCATTTTTTTAAAAGTTTAATTAATTTTTTTAAATTAGTAGCTCTGGTGGTCACCCTACCTGGTGTACTCGGTGTGCATGGTGCGTAGGGCGGCGCGTGCTGCGGGGAGCACCATGACGCGGGCCTGCTTGTCCCAGGTGACGCAGGGGGCGGCGCCGGCGTCCTCCAGCAGGACGGCCGAGCTGGAGCTGCCGACCCTGCCGGCCAGCAGCAGCCCCGAGCCGCTGCCGCCGGCCCCGCCAGCGCCGACGCCGCCCTGGGCCAGCCCCGCGGCCAGCCCGGCCTCCGAGCCCTCGGGCTCCGAGTGCGTCTGGCTGAGCTGGCGCTTGGAAGCGAAATAGGCCGGCGGCAGTGCCGACCCGTCCGACTGCGACTGCGTTCGCATGAAGCGCGTCTCCAGCTCGCTCTAAAATATTTTTTTTAAA